AAAGTTAAGATTGAACTTGGTATTTATATCTACTTTTTGTTATTAATATTAGTATCTACTTTCAGGTGTATTTATGTAGTATTATTTTAAATGTTAAAAAATTTAATTATAGTACGGAACCGAACGGAACCGAACAGAACAGAACAGAACCGAACCGAACAAAAACGAACCGAAACCGAACAGTTCCAAAATTATATTTGGAACCAACGGTTCCATTTACTAAATATCCGAAAATTTCTGGAATAGAAAAAAATCGAAACGAACCGACTAGACCTGCGCCCACCCCTAGCTGAAATAAGAGGAAAAAAGTTAATTTCTGTTAAAATATAAGGAGTTATTTTCACTCTTTGACCATGAAAAGACTTGTTTATTCTCGAATTTCTGCAATCTTCGACCTATTGTGTGGGTTTTACCTAAATTCTGATATAATCGCATTCTTATTTGAGAAATTTTGCAGAATGGCCCAATCTTTAGAAGTCAAACTAAAATATGATGAATTCTAGAAATTTTTGCATGTTGAAAATTAAAAAAGAAAAAAAAAACACGAGTTTAGAGCATTAAATATATCGTATTTCTAGTATTTTTCGTAACAAATAGATTGCTTATATCATTCTAATTGCAACTAAAAAGTAATTAGTATTTTTCATTTATAGTTTTTCGACGAGTAATTAGATCACTCATAAGTATTAATGTGTGAGACGCTGTACTACTTATGTTTAGAATAGCTATTCCACTCATTTTGTCAAGATAAACAAAGACATTATTTGTGACTTGTTCACGTTCAACTGTAAAATTTCGACATTATCTTCAAATTTAATAATCTTTTTTATCTCCTGTATTTATTTCTCTATTTCTCCAAGTCCAACATAGGTCTTTTGTATTGGAAATAGGTCATCAATTCAAGCCATTTATAGGTTGGCCCGATCACCTAGGTTTAACTGACAAAGATTTTTTAGTTAACACAAACAGACTCAAAAATATGTTTAAGGATAGGGAGACACATGTCGATAGGTGACTGGACAATTTGATAAAAATAGGAACACAACGCTCGATTATTATCTACCACATCACCATGTCCCTCCATTCATATCCTTGAACATGTCCAAAGAATATTATTCTTTAGTGAAAAAATTGTAACTGGATTTTTAAGGTAGGCAAACATTCTCTAGGTGTGTCAGTAGAATTGTGCCTAATCAGAGTGGGGCCCAGGTAAAGAAAATTTGACATAACAAAGCTACAAATTCATGAATTAGCCGTTGACACTCACTGCACAAAACCCTTCGGGAAAAATGACAACAACATAACAAAACGGTTCAATCAGCTCCAAATCACACAACAAACACTAGAATTTATCTCTATAATGGCGGATTTTCTGACAGACAGTGATGATGAGAAGAAAGTCGAGGAGCTTTTATCTCAGGCTTTGGACCTTACTGTGCTTGAGCAAGTCGCCGCCATTAATTGCTCTGGTTTTAATGATTCTGATCTTCCTTCTCACCTAGCAGCCCGTTTCCAAAACCTCAAATCATTACCAGTACAGAAATCGAAATCGAAATTTTTGCAAAGCTTCAATTCTTCAAACACCCCAGAATTCAAGAACAGGGATTTTATAAATGAACCCAACAAGGTGGACCTTAGTGAAGAAACAAAAGGGTGTTTTTCACAGAAAAACCTTGCTGAGAAAATGGGTTCAAAATCAAGTGAAAATGGGTTGAAGAAGAACCCAGATAGTAAAAATTGTTCATCGCCAACAAAATCATCTGAGAACGAGAGTTTTTCAACTTTCAAGAAAACCCCACGGGGGAGAAAAATGGCAAAAAAGGAATCGAATTCCCCATCTTCGGCTTCGTGGGACGATTTTTCAAGTGATTCTCTGTCTCCACCTGCAAAAACTGGTTGCTTTTGGTGTTCTCCGAAAAAGGGTTTGAGAAAAAATAGCAAAGAAAACAGGGGTTTGGATATAGACCTTGAATGGGGTAAGAATGATGAGTTTTTATCTGATTTGAGTAGTTTTTCATCGAAACGTCAAAAAAAGACGATAATGAAGGCTCTCAAGGAGGAGGAGAAGATCTGCAGAGAGGCAGAGAAGATTGTCAAATGGGCAAAGCAAGCTTCAGCAGGGATGGATGTTTCTCGCATTGAAGATGAGCTAAGTGACAATGAAAATTATAAATGATCATATACAGTTCATGTCACTTCATATCATATACAAGATGATATGTCCTTTTCTTTCTGCTTTTTCTGATCCTATTTGAATGGTTTTGCGTTCTGCTTGTGAGGTTTTATAAGTATAAAGATATAAATTGTATTATATAGATGAAGAAATTGATGGATTCCACTGTTTATGATATACTTCTTAGTAAATTGATGGTTCTGATATCCGATGAATGGGGAATTGTTGATGCCTAAGATTTCTTCGATGTTCTTGGATTTTTTATTTTTTTGCACTTTGCGACACATGAATCTGAAATTGATGTGTTTGGTTTATGTTTTTTTCCTTTGCAATTGATGTTATGGATGTCGAGGTCTGCTTAGATATCAGTTTCAATCATACGTTTAAGAATGAAAAGTGTTTTCTTGTATCACTTTTGGGGAGTAATATCTTTAATGTCGGCAAGCACTCTATCATTATAGGCTTCGGGAATATATTGAACTATACAAATCTCTTCCAGTGTTCTAAAATTCTTGAAAATGCGGCGCGACAAAAACGCGTCGCTTTTGTGG